TTCGGAGAATGAGTAACCAGATATCTCCTTTATTTAATCCGACCATCGTACTGGAGACCTTCCTCTGGATTTTTCACCCGCTACGTTACCTTCTAGTACCTTTATAAAAATTGAGAAGGACACAACGAAAGATGGAGAGATCAATGCTTGGAATAAGCTTAAGAAATATAATAAGAAACGAGGAAGTTCGTAGATAAACCGGAGTGGAAGACATTATCGAACATATTACAAGGCAAAAATGGAGATGGGCAGGACATGTTGCATGAATGAAAGACGACATTTGGACAAAAAATTGCTTGAGTGGAGACCACGGGCTGACAAGCGAAGCCGAGGAAGACCCCCAACGCGATGGACCGACGACCTCAAAAGAATGGTGACCAATTGGATAGCAGAGGCGCAGAACAGAAGCAGATGGAAAAGTCTAGAGGAGGCCTATGTTCAACAATGGACAACTTAGGGCTGATTAATGACGTTACCTTCACTTATCATTTACTCCATGTTTTCTCTTCTTCTAGTTATTATATGTCCAAAATACTCCAGTATATTTTGGTTGATAGTTGTGCTAGAATTGAGTTATTTGTGCGATGGGCGGTCAATGGTATGCGCAACATTCTGCGGTAGTCCCACATGTCAAATGCTATTATACGCTTTGAATCGGCTTTTTTCATTGTCCAAATTTCTGAAGCCTAGGTGGCGATAGGAAATATCAATGCTCGAACGTAATTTTGTGTTTTTTGTGATGTCAGTATTCTTCTAAATTTTGTGAGTTTGGCTGTTGCCAATCTGGCCATTGTGATGCGTCGACAGATCTCGTCTTCGCATCCTCCACTGTTAGTACTAACGGAACCTAAGAAATTAAATTGCCCGACCACTTCGTAACCTGCCATGTTTCTTATCGCTGCTTGGTTATTTCTGATTCTATCGATGACCATCACTTTAGTTTTCTGCATACATATTTATTTTCAAGCCATATTCCGTACTGTAATGTAAACATAGCAAGAAAATAAAGAAAAAAATAAGAGGTAGTAGCCTAGAGAAGAGTAATAATTGTTTGAATATATATTCCAAATTGAATAAGGAACAAATAACTCGACCTAGTTTAAGTGTATTACACGAGTTCAATATCAGGTCGCCAAATTGTTTAAAAGAAAAAAATCACGTTTAAAACAGAGACCTTTGTTGAAAAATAACACCGCTGCCTGACCCGGTTTAAGCACGAGTACTGAGTCAGCAAAAGCTCGACCTCGGTAATTGAGAATACGGGTTCATAAAAAACGAACAAAGTGGGCCAGGGAGGCAGTAAGAGCAGAACAGCCGAGAGGGCTCCACGCCAGAAGCTCGGGCGATCGGCATTACGCAGTCCAGTGAGCGCGCTATTGTAATTCGACGGGGATAGTGCCGTATAAGTGCCGGTACCTGGTGTTTCAAAAATTCGTGATAGCGCGTGGTACCTCAACAAACTAAACCTGAATTCCAGCAGGACTGAAGGGCGTATTCATTAGCTAGAGATTAAATACGCGAAGGTAACTAAATCTATATACTAACCCAAGGAATATATAAAAACGTAGATTGTCCACCCTCTAATTTCTTACTAAGGTCTCTTCTCGTCTTCATTCGCGCCTGAACGAATCTTTATTGGTTATAACTGACAGCTTGTTAACTTAATTGTATTATATAGTCTATTTAATACATTTGTAGACTCGAAATTTGGTTTTATTGTTCCTTCCCGGTCGTTACGGGCAGAGACTAGAAGAGTGCACAATTTCCACTTATGCATTTTTCCGGCTTCTAAAGTAAGCCAATAACCTCTGACTCCTTACAGGGCCTGCATCGGAGTATCCTTCAGCCCCTATCCTGTTTTTTCCTACCCTCTTGTAAATCCACGAGGGAGAAACCACGTTTATTCAGACTAGTTGAGCCAGAAAGCCTTGCCTCCGCTCGCAGAGATAAGCATCCTTTAAAGTTTAAACCGAGGATGTTACAGGGGTTACAGCAGTCTTAACACCGCTAGTATTATAGTACTCACCGTGTCTAGCCTATTCATAATTTGGTCCAGTTCTTCTAGTGATAACTCCAATATAACAGTGTCATCAACATAACGTAGGTTTATGATTTTTCTTCCTCCTATCGTTGCTTCACCTTGCCAGTACTCAAAAACTTGACGCCTAATACGTTCACTATGTACATTGAATAGAATAGGGGATATTATGCATCCCTGTCGAACACCAGATTTTAATTTGAAGTTTGTCTTCTTCTTCAAGTGACATCTCCGCGACGGATGTTGGCAATCATAATAGCTATTCTGATCATCGAGGCAGCTGCTCTGAACAATTGCATTGAACTGCAACCAAACCACTCTCTCAGGTTTTTCAACCAGGAAACGCGTCTTCTTCCTACGCTTCTCCAACATTCTATTTTTCCTTGAATTATGAGACTTAAGATGTTGAATCTTTCGCCTCTCATTACATGTGCGAGATATTGCGAGATATCGAAGTTTTTAGAAACCACGTTATTAAATCTTACATTAGCAGTATTATTTACATATAGTTTACATAGTTTATATATGCGATACCTAATCATTATTCCCTTCACTTCATGAATTTGCTAGATGGGTTCCACTAAATGTTAATATTCGCATGCTTCCAACTTAAGTTATATTAAAAATAATATTAATTTCATTTTTTATCGTTTTTCACCAGAGTTTTTTAAGTCGTCTTCTCTTATTATTTCACAAATTTATATCTCAGTAGCTCTACGTTTTGAGTAACTTTGGTCTTATCTGTGACTGTGTTTTAACCATTTTATTCAATTTTTCTCCTTTATACGGTTATCTTTTAAGCGTCTTTAATATGTTTGTATCTATTAATATTCATCTTCACTATTACGTGCTTAAACTAAGAATATTCGCCGCCTTTTGAGAGAATTCCTAGTGATGAACATATAAAAAGTAAAAGAAAACTTTTATCAAAAATCAAAAAAAGTACAAGTCGAAGAGCAAACGAGTGAAACGGCATTTCCTAACACTAAGCAAAGAGAGATATAACCAACATTTCGAAAATATTGTGTTTCTATAAGATTAAGCCATAATTGATTGTAATGAAAATTTTATTTTTAACTAAAGTTTGACGTTTCGATTTTCACTCCACAAATTGTTTCCAACAAAAGGTTATTTTAAAAATTCTGCCAAAATGTATAACCAACATATAAGTTGTTAGTAGGTTATGGTTTCTCAAATGGATGATTGAATTAATTGGTATCGATCTTGTAGGCAATAGCCTGCTTTTCGCATAAAAAAAATTAAGGGTGCTGTTTTTTACCCTCTAATATAAAATCTTAACTGTTTTGTGTGGGTTTTGGTATTATTTGTATGTGTAATATATGTTTACGTAGACTATAGATTTGTGTATAGTATATGGTTTATAAATTGTAGATGATATGTGTCTGCGACTTCTTTTCATCCGCTATTTTGTCGAAGTCTCTGTTTTTGATGTATGTGTCATGCTCGTTCATCCTGTCACTTAGAGACTTTGCGGTTTCTCCCACAAAGAAATTAACAGGGTATTTGATAGATACCGTTCTTTGATTTTCCTTGTGTATTGTTGCGTTTGGTTTTGGACAGGATGGATCTCAGTGTGTTAAGCCCTTTATATAGTATTGTTGTCATCTTTGAATCCCTTCTTGTGAGTGTTTCTGGATTATTTGTGGTGCTTTGTTGTTTCCTCTCTTCAAAATTATAAAATTCCTTGTTTATGAATGACAATGGGTAGTCATTTTTTGTCAAAACCTTTGTTAGCACGTTTTTTCTTTATATAATGCATTTTTATTGAAGCAGGTGTTTCGGGCTTTATCATATAATAATTTGATAACTTCTTTTTTGATGTTTACAATGTTGTTTGATGGGTATTTTAAATATCTGTTGGTGTGTATTAGTCTTCCTGTAAATCTTGGTTGCATATCCTCTCCTGTGTCTTCTTTTATAATTAACACATCCAGAAAAGTAACTGTTTTCTTGTTCCATGGTAAATTTGATTGATTTTTCTGTATTATTCATGTTCATTAGAAATTTGTTTAATGCTTTTGTTCCATAAGGTCAAATGGAGAACACATTCATCATCTACATATTTTTACCATATTGTGGGTTGTTTGTGTACAATATTTTATTCAAAATTTCCAATGAAAATATTTGCTACTAATGAAGATAAGGATGATTTCATCGCTATTCCAAAATTTTGCTTATAGAAATCATTATCTAGTTGAAAATAAATGTTTACAGGTTAGTAGCTCCATGATTGTTTGATGGAAAAGACTGGTAATATTGAAACTGACTATCATATTGTAATTGTAATCTATTTCCGCTAGTTTTTGCAAGAATTACTCTAAGTATTTGACAAAAGATTGTAAGGAACTTTAACAGTCTGCTGCAAATTGGTCTGAGCAATACATTTTTTTTTGTGAATTTTGGGAACTCTGTATAGGTGTGGTGTCCTGATGTAGTGTGGTGTCAGTGTTCTTCTTTGCTAGTCTGCCAGTATTCTTTAAATTTGTGCAGTGTTTTATATAATTTATTTGACAGTGATTTTATTGCTTCTGTTTTGTGTCTGTGAGTGGTGTTTTTTCCCACCATTTCTTTATTATATACAACTGATTTCTTTGATATTTGAATATCTATTCTATTTACTTTTAATATATTCAGATTAGATAATGTATTAAGATGTTATTAATTATTTCGTTTACGATATATAATTAGTTAGGACTCCAGATCTTTGTATCGGATAGTTTGATAGATTGACAGTGTTTTATAGATAATTTTATTTTATATGAGATGATTATGTATTTATTTGATAATATCATTTAATTTTATAAAATATTCTCATATTCATGAACTGAAAAATTACTTTAGTAATCTACTTCCCTTTTATCTTATTAAATTTTTGTTACGTATTTTAGAAATGATTGTTTATATTGGGCACTTTATTATAAGAAACTTCTTTTAATTTTAGGACCCACCACCAACACCCGTCAACGCTAAACGTCAAGTAGAAACTCTCAATGTTGATGAGCCATCGCATACCACAAAAGAACTAACCAACCATATCGACGACGATGACTCCTCATCTTCGTCTGAGAGCGAATCGACTGATTCCGATGATCTTCCTACCAAAGACCCCAAGATTGCCAAAGTTCCAGTCCAGATGGATATGGAAGAGCTGATTTCTCATTTACTCGAGAAGAACCAAAAATCCAAAATGAACTGTGTAGTGGAAAAGAAGAGAGCAGAAGAATTTGTAGATCATCAACCTAAAACAGTGAGGTTACCATTCGGAATCAACCTTACCACCAACCCTAGATTCGAGAAATTGACCGGCGAACGTATGGTCATTGTTTGTGAAAGTGGAACCATGCAAAGGTAATATTGAAGAAGGCGTTTTTATTAAGAATTAATGTATGTGTTACGAACATATTCAGAATATAAAATATGGTTACAATCAGTCTGTGTATGGATAATAGTATATTACTTTATGAGGCGAAGAAGCATGACTTTTCTTGACGCGCCCGATATTACGCGCCGAACGAAGTGAGGCGCGTAATAGAGGGCAAGTCAAGAAAAGTTGCTTCTTTGCCGAATAAAGTATACTATTTTTTCTTCAAACGTAGCAATTTTCAACCATAAATAGTACAATTCATTCGCTATTTTTACTCGAAATTAACTGTGACAACTATCAAAGTCGTCTAGATGTTAGAAATTAAAATAATTAAGTCGTCGGTGGGATTTGCGTCTCCCTGGTTACAGTTGTTTGACAGTTGTTTGCAATTATTAAAGACAGCTTATTGTTGTTGCAAGCGCAAGCGCAAATTTAGTGCGAAAATGGAAAACCTAAACGAAATTGAATCCGCGGCTAATGATGCAGTAGCACGTTTGGGGCCCTCCAAGTCCGGAATAAAGTATCGGTTAGCGTACAAGCACTTCCAAGAGTGGTGCGATACAAGAGGAGTACGGCAAGTTACCGAAGACGTTTTACTGGCATATTTTAATATAATAGAAAATAAAAATAAATGGAAATCTTCTACAATGTGGTCACGATACTCTATGATAAAATCCCAGTTAGTTATTAGAAAAAATGTGGATATAAGCAAATTTTTAAAGTTACGTGCCTTTCTGAAAAAAAAAACAAGCGAAGGATATACTGCAAAGAAGTCTAAAGTTTTCACTAAAGACGAGTTTGATAAATTTTTGTTTGAAGCGTCAGATAAGTTGCATTTAGGATTAAAGGTAAAAAAAATTATATTGCAAAGCATGTAGTATACTCTACTAAATTATAAAAATATTTCAGATTGTTTTGTTAATTGGGGTTACCGGCGCCTGTCGATGCGACGAAATGATATAAATGAAGACTGTGGACATTGAGGATAGAGAAAATGTAATAATTATCACAATCCCAGACAGTAAAACACGACAAATTAGATCTTTTACGATAATTGGTCAAAACTACATTAAACTGTATAAAAAGTATGCATCACTGCGGCCTGAAAATTTCACAGAAAACCGATTTTTTATCAAGTACCAAAATGGAAAGTGTTACCGAAGCGTCATGGGAATACATTTGATCATCGCAGTAGCCCAAAAAGTAGCTAGTTATTTAAATTTAAACGATGCAAGCGCATACACGGGTCACTCTTTACGACGAACTTTAGCAACACTTTTAATTGATGGAGGCGGAAATCTAGAATGCCTCAAACGACAGGGGGACTGGAAATCAAGCACGGTTGCCGAAGGATATATAGAGGATTCAATAAGAAATAAGAACGATAATGCTCAAAAAATTTTAAACCCTCATGATTCGCCAACATCGGGAATGATTGCTGAAAGTTGTTCTCGACCATCAGTATCATCAACAGATACCAATGCGTATCAAGAGTCGGGAACATTTTTTCACGGTTTCAATTTTGAAAATGCCTTATTAACTTATTGTACTTTTAATATTACTATAAATAAAAATGATGTTTAATTGTTGTTAATGACATTTGTATTGTTGCTTTGTGACATGTTTCATATTGTTGCCATGACAACATTTTTCCCTCCGCCGTAAAGAAATAGGAAAAAAACTGCTACCGGCGGAGACATCAAACCATGGACGTATAAACATAGATGGACAAAGCAATAAGATACCTTTAACATACAATGTTTTGAAGCTTTGATAGAATGTGATGCTTCCGCAATGAGCATAAGCGTGCTTGGATTTTTACTCGCGGGTAATTATTCGGATTTTAAAAGACTTTGACGCAGATAGGTGAAAATATTTTGAGAATATTCGAGCTTAAAATACTGAACGCAAACTATTTGGAGCTACAAACGACTAAGAACAGTGACGCAAAGTATATAATTTAGAATTATACCAACTCTTTAATAAACCAGATGTCATAACGTTCATTAAAACACAGCAAATTAGATGGTCTGGACACATAATAGAAATGCCAAACAATACGATTGCTAAAAAACTAATGACAGGAACACCTATAGGAAAAAAAAAGTAGAGGCCGACCACGAATTAGGTGGTTAGATGGATTTGAGATCGACTTGGGAATACTGAAAGTCAGAAGATTTAAAAAGCAGCAAAACATTAAAACCAGAAACCGAACAGAATCCATGGAGGATTGTCGAGCCAAAGATAATGATGATGATGATGATGATATTATCTGTAGATTTAATATGGTTTGTTAATTTTTCCGATTCTGTAACCATTCCCTGCAAATTTGTATAGAATTGGTGAAATTTTGGACATGATATAAAGATAAAATCTTGACTGAAAAAATATCTGAAAACGTGTAATAATATAAATAACTTAAATTGTCGTCAAATCTAGCAAATAACATGTCACTAACTTTGTGTTAGGTGAGAACAATACACTGCAATTTAGAAATTAGTATTATAAAAGTTCATGTGAACGTACCAAATTTCCATTATGTGAAATCTGTAGACTACTTAGCATTGTAATTGATGACCATTAATAAGGCATTAAAACGAAACATTATATTAGCTCTTATTACATCTTTGAATCACGCATGAGATGGAAAATTATGATTTCAAATATAAATAGACAGTCGGCCGGAAAATAAAGATTATGATATTCTAGTTAACATTTATAATCATAGATGAAAACGCAACAATAATTTTGAGAAAAAAAAAACAAATTACTTATTTATTTTTTTAGTTATAGACCTTGACGACATAGGAATATATTTTTAGACTTTACTTTCAATTTAATTTAATTTTATAATTTTTAAATGTACTGCCTTAATATTATTTTTTTCAATTTGCTCTATGGAATGCTTTTTCGTCAATCACTCTAGCTGCTTGATATTAATTTTTTTTGAAGATTAGTATCTAATATTAACTATAATGTATCGTTACGAGTAATGCCTTAGTGTACACCTACATTGGAACCGTATTTCTCCCGATCCGATATCTGGCGACGTCGGCCGACGTCGGATTAAAAACAAACTCAAGGTATTAAATCAGAGTGCCTATACTGCTTCGTCATGGCAGCATAGCCATGTTAGTCCAACATCCGTAACGGATAGGCACCATAAGAAGACAAACCAGCAGCGTGGCATCTTATGTCATAGGACCCCCTAGAGCTATAATTTATTGTTTTACCTCCTAGAAACTTTGCTATTACATTACTATATTGTTTAGCATAATTGTTACTCATATTTTTTAAAAGACTATTTGCATGGAATTTTAATCTTGCTGCATATTAGATGTATCGTTTTTCAAAAACTTTATTCTTAAGTCACTTGGTTTATCTGACTGTTGATGGTATTCAGTTGCTTTTGTAACAGCGGTTTTTAATCTTAATATGTTATTTTTTAAAAGCTTTCGTAAGAAAATTGGTACTAGTTTTCCATCGAAACTATATCGTTTTGTTGATAACATCTAGAATTATATGTCTTTCCATTGTAGTCGAAGCTTTTGTCCAATTTTTATAACATACGTGTTCTTTATCTTCTTTGTATAATTAACGTTACTCCAAGATACAGAATCTTTTGGGTTCTGTAACCAATAATGGCTGCAGCTCCAGAACTGGCGTTATAATTTGTTTTATATGATTTCTTTGACCAAGAGCAGTCCGCAACAACAGTTATAAAATGATAGCCATCTTTATTAATATCTCCATGCTCTTTTGCTAATTTGATTTCTTCTTGTCCAGCCTCAAGCATTGATGTCCAAAAACTTTCATGGTATAAGTCAATTAGATCATTTTGAATTAATAAATAATATTTTTTGATAGTAGTGGGATATTTAGACTGGACGGTAATTCAGTTAGTTGTGGTTATCCTCCACCAATACTAACTATTCCAGTTATTGCTGCAGAATTGACTTTGAGGGATAGTTGTTTAAATTTTTCAGTTTCTACTTCATGTTTTATGCGACACATTGGGCAAAAGAGAGTAAATTTAGAATAACATCCTTTTCGCTTTTCACTAGTTACTGTAATATTTTCCGGAAGCAATTGAACAATCTGTGGTGAGGGAATTGCAGTATTTGCCTAATAAAATATTGCACATCTACAATTCTTCTTCCTTGTAATATGAAATCTGAAGTAGTTTGTCTAAAAGACATATAAATTATTTATTTATGTTTAAAAGTTTACTGTACTTTTTACTGCTACTACATTTTATATTTGGTAAAAAAAACTTACGTAGTAGCTGAATATTCTTTAATTATGTTCTCCTCCTTGCAAGGAAAAATCCAAGAACGCAGAAATCCAGGCCGTAGAAGAATGTCCTGGATGAGAAATTTAAGAGAGTGGTTTGGCTGTACCACTAACGAATTATTCAAAACAGCAGTAAATAAAATTAGAATCGCCATAATGACATCCAATCTCCGATAGGAGAGCCACTCAAAGAAGAAGATGTTCTCCTTGGCAAGTTCTTCGAAAATACGGGATTGACTGTTATAGAAAAATCGTATTCATTTCATGTTAAAAAAATTAAAAGTATGGCTTACTTAATAAATATTTCTGCTACTTTTTGAGCCGCCACTCAAGAATATCGTGCTCGTCTATAATATTCCAAATTAAATAATTTTAAAAACAAATGAATGTATTACTTACTTAGTACCTACAGTTTCTTTATAGTGTATTAACATGTAAACCTTCTACTACAATGCTAGTAGTGATAACCACAAACATACAATCCACAAAAATCAAACAGATAGTTTATTCCTTTAAAGGAAAATAAAATGTAAAGAAAAAATTCTTGGTTTACTGATCGATTTTATAAATGACATTTTCACTATATATTTACAAATCAGTTTTACAGAAAAATACAAAAGTAATTTAATTTATATAAAAAGTACTTTCAATTGAGCTAACCGTCTATTTCTTCGTTTTACACTAATACATTTCTTGTAACAACGTCCCATATTTGAATTTACGCAAATAAAGAAATAAATAAAGTCTTTATGAATTAATTGAGCAATACCTATACAACACAGCTTTTCACAGATATACATGTGCTAAGCCGATTCTGGATAAACAAGATACCTACCGTTTTAAAGCTTTCATACCAGTGAGAATTTAACTACACGTAATTTGCTGTGTAAAGAAAGATAAACTAGGGATAGGACAGTCGGTGCCGATTCGCTTCATCTAAAATTTGCGCCTACGCTCTTAAATCAGAGTGCCTATACTGCTTCGTCATGGAAGCTGTATAGGCACTCTGATTTAATACCATGAGTTTGTTTTCAATCCGACGTCGCCCGATATCGGATCGGGAGAAATACGGTTCCAATGTAGGTGTACACTAAATCTCATTTAGACATTTCCTGAAACATAATTTCAGATTACTTCAGAAAACAAGTTGACAAATACAAATAAAAGTTGATAAGAACAAATTTGTTTTTGCGGTTTTTACCACTGCAGGCTAGACTAAGGTAGCTAGATATGGTGAAAAAAAGGCTGAGTGATTGGCAATATAAGCAATCCCCCCACTTACTGGCCAACGGCTAGTAGCGGATAAGCTCACGATACACAGACTAAACGGTATGCCGATTGTCGTCGCTAAATTTGGTTCAGCAGCGCAGCTACGTCACGCGTGAACCTAAAATTTATTTTTTGCTCCTTGTTGTTTGAAGTTTCAATACATTAATTCGTATTTGGTGGCGTTAAAAGTAATTAAATTGAGGGGGTTTTAAAATATTAAGCTGTTAATGATTACAGTAATTCTGGATTATTTTAGTTACACATTGTTGTTTATTAGTACTTATCTAATACCGTGCATTTTTAACTTAAGTTGGTAGTTTATTAAAACCGAGACTTTAATGCCGGGCTGTGCTGTGGCTACTTGTAAAAATTCAAACAAAAATACAAAAGGTACGGATGTGAAGTACTACAGATTTCCTGCAAATGAAGATTTATTAAAAGATTGGATAAATGCTTGTCAGAAGATTGGAAAGTAGGAATCTTTCTTCCTATGTACAAAGAGGGAGACAAACGACTCTGCAAAAGTTATAGGGGCATAACAGTTTTAAATGTCGTCTACAAGATATTGTCGGTATTATGATACAAAGAGGTCAACTATAGACCACATACATATGTTATGTTATACATATGTTATGGAGTGCACAAAATTGAATCCACATGAGAATCTGAAGGTAGACAACCATACCTACAAATATGCCTCCACTTTTCCCTACCTAGGCTCTTTGTACATTAACATCAGTCAAGAAATACAAGCACGGATTCTTAGCGGTAATAAGTGATTTTATGCATACAAAAACTTAATGAAAAGTAAGTTACTGAATCGTGAGTTTAAGCTTAGAATCTACAAAACAGTAATTAGACCAGTAGTCACATATAGATGTGAAACGTGGACCCTCTCAACCACTGATGAAAATCAACTGAGAATATTTGAGGGCAAAATACTAAGGAAGATATTTGGAGCAACCCAATGCAGCGATGGTTCGGAGAGAATTAAAATTAACCACGAGCTGGATAAACTAATGCAGAAAGATATAGTTAGATTTGTAAAGTCACAAAGACTAAACTGGCTTGGTCACCTAGAAAGAATGCCAGATAATCGAGCTGTAAATGTAGTCCTGAGATGAAAGCCCCAAGGAATCAGAACAATAGGAAGGAAAGGTTAAGTTTTTATTTTTAGTCAAATTTTTTTCAACAATTTAGAATAACAATAAATAAATACAATTTTATGTGCATTTTATGTGAATCATTTTTACAGACCCAAAAGTAAATTGAATGTTTATATCAATTTTGTTTTATTTTTTTAATATATCATGGTAAATGTATATTGGACAAAAGATAAAATCTTTATTTTTCAATGGAAGTTCATGGTTAAATAAAATGTATATTGGAAAATGGCAGTAAAAAAAAATATAAAATGCAATTTCTTATTTAAAAAGCGATGATATGTACATAATTTTAAAATTTGAACAATATTACCGCTTGATTTAGCATTGCCGAATGAAAATTAAGGTTCCCATATGCCATCACGCGTTCGCTTTTCATGCGCAAGAACATATCGGTAGTCTGTGTATCGTGGATAAGCTGATAAGTGGAAGGGCACATTTTTGTCCTAAGATTGGTAAATCTTAGGACAGATAAGCTGCAGGCTTATACAAGCCTAGAAGAGTTGGATGTTTGGCAGACAACCAAGGTTTGAAAGAAATATGTGAAAATAACATTTGCAGATGAAAGGTAGATTGCCATTGAAGACATGGAATGCCAAACAGGACCCCCGATAACCATTGAAGAAGTCACCGCAGCTATTAGAAAAACTAAAGATACTAAAGCTGTAGGGCTGGACAAATTTTATACAGAATTCCTGAAACTTATGGACGAACAAGGAATACTTACAATGGATAACGATTATATTTAACAATATACATATAACTGGAAATACTCCCCAAAGCTGGTTAAAGTCGACCTTTGTAACTATACCAAAATAATTAAATAAAAAATATGTGAAGACTACAAAATAATTGGCCTAATGAGCCACTTACTTAAACGTTTTTAAAAGTGATACGTAACAGAATATATAAAAAATGTGAACAAGTGGTCAAATTTTTTACCACCTCAGAGGGAACCACTTCAGGGAACATGTGTCATGGACACAATTTGAATTCCGCGATACCTTAGGAACCCGAGAAACTCTATACGCTATACAAGTGCTTATGCAGAGGTGCAGAGATGTTAACGGTGATGTATATATTTGTTTTATCGACTACAAAAAGGCATTAGATAGAGTAAAACATGACAGGCTCATATCAATCTTGAAAGAAGCGGGCTTGGATGATAGAGTTGCGAATTATATAAAATTTATATTACAACCAAACTGCCAACATTAAAGTGGATGGCCAGTTGACAGAGAACTTCTCCATAGATAGAGGAGTGAGACAAGAATGCATTCTGTCTCCAGCGCTATTTAACATGTACTCGAAGTGTATTTTCGAGCAAGCACTGAGACAATTAGACGAAGGCGTCTTAGTTAACGGAGTGAGTCTAAATAACATAAGATATGCTGAAGGCGCAGTAGTTTTTGCAGATAACCTAGATGGTTTACAAACAATAATGTCGCGCATATCAGATATCAGTCGAGAATATAGGCTGGATCACAATACGAACAAAACAAACTACATGATAGTTAGTAAGCGCGAAATATTAGATACACATCTTTTAGTAAACCAACAACCAATTGACAGGGTCAACACCTACACATAGTCTCTTTGCATGAAGTCTTTTTTCAGAAGTCACAATTTGCTACTTAATACCAAAATCTCTATCATCAGAGCTATGTATTTTCTACATTATTATACGAAGTAGAGACATGGACGCTCTCGGAAGCTTCTTTAGGAAAGCTCGAGGCCTTCCAGATCTGGTGTTACAGGCACATCTTAAGAATTTCATGGAAGGATCGTGTGACTATTATTGAGGTCCTACGTAGAATAGGCAAGGAATGTGAGATTACTAATACAATCAACGAGCGCAAATTAGAATATATTGGCCATGTCATGATAAATTAACACAGATGTAGCTTAATGCAACTCATTCTTTAGGGCAAGGTATTTGGAAAGAGAGGACCAGGAAGAAGAAGGATATCTTGGCTTCAAAACCTAAGGAAGTGGGACAATACGTACAATACAACCAGACTATTCCCAATAGCTGCAAATCAAGTTAGGATAGCTATGCTGATTGCCAACATCCAGAACGGATAGGCACCGTAAGAAGAAGAAGTTTTTTTTATTGTCCATAATACGCCTCATAACTGATATTTCAACACTGATAGCAGTGTAAAGACATAAAAAATTGTTTTGTTTAACATTACTTCATATTTCATATTTAACAAATCCGTTGGCAAACTCTCGTATACCAGTTCGGATGTGAAATGTTCTTTAGAATAGGGACATACTGGTCTCGGAAAGTTATATCCACTTTCATCAGCGTTCTTCGTCTTCTTAACGTGCCCTATCAAGTCCCCTTTACGTTGGCGATTTACATGGCGAAACTGTCTCTGTCTCGAGCTATTTTAAAGAGTTGCTCAGCTTTCCTTATTCCTGTCCACTCCCTGATATTCTTCAACCAAGAGGCCTGCTTTCTACCAATTCCTCTGCGTCATTCGATTTCACCCATCATAATAAGTTGAAGAATATTATATCGGTCTCCTCTTAGTACGTGTGCAAAATAGGCCATTTTTCTACATTTGATGTTATCAAGCAGCTCGCGAGCAGCATTTGCTCTCTCAAGGACTGCCACATTTGTCAGCATAGCCGTCATCAGCGTTATGCCGTCTAATTCAATACTTTTAAGTATGTTACCTGCAATTTGAATCCAACTTGTTTGGCTTTGCAGTTAGAAGCGCAAGTACTTAAAAGTTCACTGACGATGAACTGATAAGTCCGAAACGTTTGGAACTTTTATTATAATCCATTTGGAATTTGAGTTTTTAATTAAATGTTTTACCACTTAAAATAGAAGTGTTTACTTCGATGTTAGAGTTTATTTTTAACTATACCCAATGTTTGGTTAAGTTAGCATACATTTAAAATATATATATATATATATATATATATATATATATATATATATATATATATATATATATATATATATATATATATATAATGAGTTTCAATACTCTCGTAGTAAATATTCTTATATTTTTTTACATTATAGTGCTGAAGCACCTATGAGACCAAAGGAAGAAAAAGAAGACGATTCCGAAGAAGATGACCAAGAAACGATTATGATTCAACCAGTAATGATCCCCATTCCTCAAAGCCCATTCAATACCCATATGTCCCAGCAAATGGCACCAATGGCTGCACAACGACCAGAACAAATGCGTCCAATGGGAGCTCCAGTATTTCATATTGAAAACATGAGGCCTCCCATGATGCACCAGCAACCACCTTCTCAAATGCCAGTACGTCCTCCAATGCAACCACAGATCCAGATTCAGATGCAGCCCCAACAACCCCAACAACAAGGTAACTTATTAGAATTTATATAAATACTCCAGTTTCAATTTCTTTTTTTCTGCTGGTGTAAGATAAGATGTTTTTTTTGGTTTTCGAACATATTGGCCAAATAAAACACAGTTTATTTAGCGTATGGATAATTACAATACGATAAAAGTAGTATTTAGATAATAATTATGTTCAAATTGGAATTGTAACCTAAGTTAAATATTAATGTCCAAATTGAACAGCCATTCAATTGCACCAGGAGAACACTCTGCAAAATCTTGAAGGTCTCCGCTGTATCTGCGGATTTGGCAATCCGCCATGATGTGTTGGATGGTCTGTCTCGGGGATCCACAATCACATTGTGGGCTTTCTGCATGACCCCATCGGTATAGAGAATCGGCACATTTGCCATGACCCGTGCGTATGCGATTTAATTTTGTCCATATAGGGCGTGGCAGGTTTGATCCAGTGAAGCCGATCGACCTACTTGTTATTTTGATGACGTCTGGCTCTGTTGTTGGCATCCATCTTTTCGTCCACTGCTCTTGCTTATTGTAGCTATCACCCATTCCCTGAACGGATTGGACAGGGGGTCGTCTGGACTTCAGTCTTTGTTGGTCTCGTGCGGCGTGCGGAATATACTGGTGAATTGGCAGACGATTATTTGCCATGATTTTCTGATATTCTCTGACAAGTGCTGCCGTTCGTCGAATATCTGGAGGTGCTATATTGATCAGAATTGGAAGCCATCTTAGTGGAGTTGATTTAATAGTACCAGATATTACTCTCATAGTGTAATTTAGTTGAACATCAATCTTGTTGACATGAGCGCTATTTAGCCATATCGGTGCGCAGTATTCAGCGACAGAATACACCAGGGCCAGTGAGGAGGTTCGAAGTGTATCCGCAGTGGCACCCCATGTCGTTCCAGCAAGCTTTGTTATTATGTTGTTACGGGTTCTCACTTTGGCAGCTACATTCGTAAGATGGGTTTTGAACGTCAGTGATCTGTCGAGCGTTACACCCAGGTATTTAGGGTTATTATTATGTTTCAAAGTCTCGCCATTCAAGGTGATGCTAAGGGTGTCATCCGAAAGCTGATTTGTGAGATGGAAGAGGCTTGTCTCAGTTTTGTTTGTATTAGGGCGAAGTCGCCATTGTTTAAAGTAGTCGCAGAGAACCCTTAAGTCTTCGGTAAGCGCCCTTTCTCCAACATCTTTGGCTTGGTTTTGAAATGCGATAGCCAGGTCATCTGCGTAAACAAATTTTTTTGATTTTGTCTCTGGAAGATCGGCTGTGTAAATGTTAAATAAAACACAGTGAACACACTAAAACACAGTGAACAAATGAAAGCAAATGTGATAAAAGTAACTACTATTTAAATGGGAATTAGCCACAAATAAAGGTTAAAGTAAGTTTATTATCGTTTTAATTTCCACTTCGGGAATCGTTTTCAAAATACAAACATTAGTAAATTTACTAATTTACTCATGTTTGTATCTAATCGTTGATTGAATAACCCCACTGGAGAAATAAAGCCATTAGCAGTTGCAAAAAATATAGTGGATAAATTACCAAACATTTGGAAAAGCCATGGAGTACTTGTCGATATCAAAATCAGTCTCGTAAGTATCAAGAAAGGGTTGAAAACACAAGAAACATAACAAATAATAGGCTATTTCGAGCACGTTCTTTGTGGAGATAGTCTCGAAAAGTTTTAGCATAGAAAGGTCGAATGTAAAACGGATAGAGCTTGGCGCTAACAAATCAGAATAGCTCTTGTGTTAAAAATATTTGAGACTAAACTAATTTTGAAATTTCTTTTATGTGAGTTCTGAATTGCACAATATTGTCTATCATTGTTTTTGATATAAAATAATTGCTAAACATGGCCAGTGGTAAAAAAAATTAGGACAGAAATTACAACAAGATTCTAAAAAATATGCATTATTATAAAATTTTTGTACAACTAGAAATACCAAAAGGTTATAGTTTTCGTACATTCATAATTTTATAGATTATTTCCTTCCCTATGACCGATAAATCTAAACATTTTTTAGGCGATTTCCCACCAAACCCAATCTTGCAGCACATCGTACAACAGATTGTTGCACAGAAAATTATGGAAAGCCAAAAGTTACGGGAACAACAAATGAGAGAGCAGCAACAACAACAGCAGCAACAACAGCAACAAAAAGAAGTCAGACCTGAACCAGCCCAAGAAATTGAAGAACGCCCAAGATTTCTTCAGATTGAACAAATCGGACAACCGATCAATGGACAAAGATTGCCAATTCCAGAAGAAGTTTTGTCTCAACTGAACAGGTAATTTGTAATATAATACTTTTTGTGAGTATATTGCGGTTTAGCAAAAGCTTTTCCAAGAAGCGTGACTGATAAAATTAAACTTCTTCTTTCTTCTTTTTGTGCCACTCCTATCGGAGATTGGAAATCATCAAGGCTATTCTGACCTTGTTTACGGCTTACCTAAAGAGTTCATTAGTGGTGCAGCCAAACCACTCTCTCAAATTCTACAACCATGACATTCTTCTACGGCCTGGATTCCGTTTTCCTTCTATTTTTCCCTGCATTATATTTTGAAGTAATGCGTATTTATGTTCTCTCATCAGGTGACCAAAATATTCGAGTTTTCTTCGCTTTAGCGTTAACAAAATCTCTGGGTCTTTTCCTATTCTTCGTATTACTTCACAGTTTGTTATTCTTTCAACCCAACTAATCTTCAGCATTCGACGATAGCACCACATCTCGAAACTTTCAATATTTTTCATGTTGTTCTGTTTGAGAGTCCAGGCCTCTACATCGTATAATAGCGTGTTAAATACATAGCCTCTCAGCATTCTTAATCGTAGAGGGATGCTTATATTTCTGTTGTAGAAGAATTTTCTCATCTTTATGAAGGTGGCCCTGGCAATTTCGATACGTCTTTTTATTTCACTGTTTAAAATTAAACAGTGATATGTAATGGCCAAAATATAAGTTTTTTAAAAACTTCTAATTCATGAATATCATCAGTTTAGGATCATTCACAAACTGTTCCACTTTCTTTGTTTTTTCTAGCAATTTCATACTTTGTCACCTTTGAATAGTCCTCTTTGTATCCAGATACTATTCTTTGACAGATGTTATATTAAGTGTTGCTAACTCTAATCTTAGACTTCTTTTGGTGGATAATTTAAAAACCTATCAATAAAAAACATTTTTTAAATCATAATAACATTAATTTAACGCGTTTATAATTCAATATTCTTTTAAAAGACCAAACAAGTTGCCGATCTAACTGCAGAGAAGAAACGACTGACTAACCCACTTAAAGCAGCACTTGATTTAAATTAAAGAATATAAAAGACAATTAGAAAATTATGAGAGAGATAAACAAGCTTTAGCTAATACTAAATTGATGTTCTCACAAAAGGTGAAAAGTTTGGAAGACCTCAGATGGTCTTATGATGCATTGGAGTTAAGATTTAAAACACTTCAGAAAGAAAGAGAAGAACTATATAAGAGATTTGTTCAAGCGGTATTGGAGGTGCAACAGAAAACAAGTGTTAAAAATGTATTCTTTTATTGTTTGGACTTTTAAAACTATTTACATATAATATATTTCCACGCTTAATGACATCTTGAAATCACTTAATTGGGAAACGAACAAACTCTAAATGGAAAATATTTAAACCTCTAAAGATACGCATATGACGTAGTACTAATAGGCAACAAACGACACCAACTATTCAAGGTACAAAAATATAATATGTAGAAGAATACATATATAAGAAAACCAAACTACTGAAATAAATAGACGAGTAAGAATGGGATAACTGTAGTATACGGAATAGCTGTGTTGAGGTCTTTCTCTACCATACTCTCATGTTAGCAAGCCAGGATATTCTTCTTGGTTCTGGAGCCCTTTTTTTTTCAATTTTATCTTGAAAAATGCATTGGAGTAGCTCATATCTGCCTTGATTTCTCATTATATGTCCCAAGTACTGCAGCTTACTGCCTTTCACGATCTTGACCAAATCCGCGGTTGTGTTCATCCTGCGTAGTACTTTTTCATTAGTGACTTTGTTCGTGGTATCTTCAGTACGCTTCTGTATAACCATAGCTCAAAAGCCTGAAGTTTTAAGAGAGTTTCCGCCTTCAAAGTCCACGTTTCTACTCCGTACAGAAGCACTGAGTACACGTAACAATTAAGGAGCCAATTTTTGTTTTTATGGGAAGGTCATGGCTCTTGAACACAGAGCTCATAGTCAAGAATGCATTTTTTGCCTTTTCGATGCGATATTTAATCTCTTGGGTAATGTCTCACCCACGACTCATTGATTATGGTTCACAAGTAGTTGTACTGTGACACACGTTCAATTCTTATTTGGTTTCCATGTAGATTTGCTCCAGTTATGTTTTCCTTGCTGATGATCATTAGCTTGATTTTGCTGGTGTTTGTATCCAGTCCATATGCTGTACTATTTTCGTATGTTATTTTGTTTATTAAGTTTTGCAGCCCTTCTATGGTATTGGAAAACACTATAATAACTACAATAATTGAGATGGCTTCATCAATACTTTTTTAAAAATGTGCTCCGAATACAAAAAGACAAAAAGATACTATAAAGTTCATTCAAACCAAAGTGTTTAACTCTTGTATCCTTTCCGTTTTCACTGACAGAGCTCAAACCTGGAATGGAACATGGAACGACAGATACTTAGTATCTCACTCATAGATCGACAAACAAACGAAGCAATCCGGAACAAAACACAAGTAAGGGACGCCGCGGAGCAAGCAGATAAATTAAAGTGAAAATGGACTGGACACAATGAACATCTCTAAGATGGAAGATGGAACAAAGAAGTTGGAAACTGGCAGCCGTACGAAGCGAAGAGACCAAGAGGAATACCTCAAATGCACTGGAGCAACGATATCAAAAGAGTCGCAAGACCAAAGGGGAGAGGCCTTTATTCGACAATTCAAATAAAAAAAGGTTTAAAAATATATATTATTTCACAATGGCCAGATTATTTTTTATAATTCAGGTTTTCTCACATACAGATTCTCACAAGATAGAAGTTTTTATTGGGATTCAAACTTCATTTAAAATGTTTGGTTGCTTTGCTTCATGTTATTGACCTTATATGGAATAATTTATTTTAACCCCTTACTTGGAAGTACAAACCTTGAATATTCAAAGTATAGACATGCAAAAACGACCGGTAAATGTAGTATACCTTTGTGAAATACATACAATACATATACACAGTTTGTTTTAATTGGATTCTCGTTTTCACTTTCACATATTTAATAATCTTCTTATTTATATAAATAATAAATTAATTGTTTTTTTTTATTATAAATTCTAAATTGATTTTTATAGATTACCCAACCGTGACGTTATCGTAGCTGTATCAGAAACTGATTCTGAAGATGCTCCCCAAGAAGTGCAATACGTTCAAGAGCAAAGACAAAGTGCCAACGAAATGAACGGAAGACAAACTTATACTAGAGCTATTCCCATTAACCTTCCAGTAAACATAGCTCCTCAAGATCAAGAATCTCAGGAACAAGAGCAACAACAAGAGGAAATCAGACCTCACTGTAAGTAAAACTGTTTTTAAAGTTGAATTGTATTATTAGTTTTTCTAGATAAACTTTTTTATTTGAACTGTAACGGAAAATTAACTTATTTCATTCTATAATCTATCTTAATATAAGATAATACGAGATAATTTAGGTAAACAGTCGAAATTGATTCAAAACAGGTGACATCACCAGGTTATCTAGAGCTTTTTGGAAGCAATTTTAGGATCGGCTTACGAATCACAGTATGGTAATTAATTTTATTAACTATTAAAACTCCGTAGCAGTAAACACAGCATACTAAGCACCACAGTAATAAGAGTAAACAACAGGATTGCTGGATTATACAAACAGAATATGGGATTAGACAAGGCCACAGCTTCAGCCCATTCTTATTTAATATAATTATGGATTAAATAATAAATAAAATTGTAATAAAACATTGCGGAACACTACATAATTTTGTAAGCGTAGTAAAACATCAAATAAATAAAGCAACAACTGTGTCGGGACGGACGTTTGAGAAAAATGTTCTGGACTAAATATATGACAAAAATATACATATTTGTGAGACTTAAACTCATGTACGGTATCTAAATCAGTAGGGATAGACAACGAGACGAAGAAATCAGAAATACATGCGGAATAATAATTACAAAAGATATCGTTGTCGTTTCTAGTATGACCATAAATAGAATTTGATTGGTGTGGAGTATTTAAAACTTGAAGAAGAGCCCACTATTTGTTGACAATTAGGAAGAGCTCTCCAAAAGATGAGAGATGGAGAGAAAATTTCACGAAAAATTTGAATTGAATAGAAACAATAATTTTTTTCTTTGGATTGAAATTTTTTTATTGAATCATAAAGTAAATAGCTTAGGATTATGTGTGAAGTAGCGTATCATTTAAATAGCCTCCATAAGGCAATTTTGGAAATTTGGCTTCGGAAATTTTTCATAACCTTTTTGCATAATGTGGCTGAATTTCTTCTCTAATATACGGTTTATGGTAGGATTGTTGGCATAGATCTTGGACTTTAAATACCTCCATAAAAAGAAATCCAATGCTATTAAATTACACAATCTCGGGAGCAATGCTTATCACCGAAACAATAGAGTATATGACTAGAAAATGTTACACTCAATGTTTGTTCAATTGTTTCATGGGTTGTGTAGCATGGCGCACCATTATATTGAACCCTCATGTCGTCCACATCAATATCATCTAATTAAGGTAGAAATAACTTTTTTATCATATTGCGATATCAAGCACCAGTAACAGTTATTGCTACACCAGCCTTCTTTTTAAGAGTATGATCCAATGATGCTTCCAGCCCAAAATCCTCATCAAGCAGTAAGACGTTGTGGATGCATTTATCTTTTTGTCAGTCATACGTGGGTTCCCAGAATCTTAAATGCGGCATTTTTGACGATTAACAAAGCCATCGAGGTGAAAATATGATTATTTGCTTATTAAGATGAGCTTGATCAACTTGTTGATGTTTAATATTCTATTCAACGAATTTTTTGGCTTTACATTGTCATTAGTTTTCAGTTTTGGGGCCAATTGAACTTTTTAAGCATAAAGATACAGATTTTCAGTGAGCATACACTGTTAGAATCTTGACCTTTATAAATCTTGTCCCGATGCCAAATTGATATTCCTGGACTTTCAACAACATTATCACGCACTGCTTCGATATTGGCATTTGAGCTGCTTCTTTGTGTACAACCAGAGTGTTTGGCATCACGAATTGAACCAGTCTTCCTGAAGTTCTTAATTACTCTCTTTCAGTGTTGTCGAAGTTAAATCAATATTCCGATTATATTTTGTAAGAAATTTTTGAACTGTAGAGCTCCATTTTTAGGAACCCTAAACTGCCAGATGTCAAACTGTTTTTTTGTTGCCAACTAGCACTATAAAAAATCGAGAATATGAAAAAATATATATGGGCAATGCAGATCAGGAGCCTTAAACTAAATTAGGAAGAGGGATTTTTTTTTCTTCTTCTTCATCTTTATAAGCAATTTTGCTTGTTCATTGGCGGATTAATACCTCTATGGAAGGTTGTCACTCCATGTCGATTGGTGACTTATCTCTTGCTATTTTCTGTATCCTCTTCCTTTGTTAACGTTTTTGATGATTTCATCCATGATCAAATTGAAGGGCATGGGGCTCAATGAATCTCCTTGTCTTATTGTGCTGCATATTTTTATAGGTTTTGTAAGTTGTCCATCTATTCTGACTCCCATTTTGTTGTTTTGGTAGATTTTTTCGATAGTTTTTATAATATTTAGGGGAGCTTCTCTATTATACAGAAGATGGACTACATCCTTGGGTCTTACTCTACCAAACGCTTTCTTTAGGTCAATCAGACACAGAAATGCTGGTCTATTATACTCTTTTATTAGTAGGGAATCGAACTAAATTGAAAGTGGTTAATATATTTATATGTTACAATCATATTTTAAGCATTTAGATTAGAACAAGATAAGAAATAAAGTGTTCAGGATACAGCAATATTTATCTACTACTGAATCGTTTAAATAACATGATTTTAAACATACACAGTATCTCTACTAGATTGTTTGGTTTTATTCCAAGACATAAAAATACAAACACAAGATAATATAAGCATACATCATTGAATACAATTAAATAAAACTATAAACAATGTAGAGAAGCGTAAACAAAGATAACAAATTATTTAATCCTATCTTTCTTTATTGAATATTAAAGTACATTCAGCGGCAATTTTTCAGGTAACTTTAAATTATTTCATGAGGAAATGAACTAGATACTACAAGCAATAAAACAAAATAATAGGGCAATTTGCTTCAAATGTGGTTCCAAAATCCTTAGTACCCAAATTCAAGAAACCATTGAGTATCATAAGCCAGTTATTTTATAGATATTTGATGTGTTTAAAAGAATATTAAAGATATCATTAACTGAACAAATCACTATTGAAAAAAGTAGAGACCAGGATATTACAATAACATTAAAATCTAAAAAAGTATTATAATATATCATGTAATGGGATACTTCAAACTTACGATTCGATGATAAAAAGATGCTGATACCAAGTTCTAAGAGCACTTGGAATTCAAGAAAAAAATATTAGATTTGTGAAAATGACACTACTAAAAACTGACAACGTAAGGATAGAAGGAAGTCTGACAGGAAATATTGAAGCTAAAAAGGATTAACAACAAGGGGATCCGTGGTCAACAGTACTTTTTAATTTCCAGCTGAAGGCAATAATGAGGGAAAATGTAAAACATAATATGGTCTAGTTATTAATTAGCATAAAACAAAGTTTATGGAAATGGGGCAGAATTCTAACAATGACACATAACTGAAGACTGCCACAAACAAACGAAGATAGTTTCAAAAAGGTGCAGGAGTTTCCTAGGGATTGTTCTGGCAAATAAAGTTGAAAACAGAAAAAATAATCGAGAAAAGGATTACGAAAGGAAGAAAATCCCTTGGAGTGGTGCACAAACTCTATTAAAAGGGAAATACATCTTGAGGGAGACGAAATGGTATATTTACTGTATTGTATATTTACTGTTTATTTCATGTTATTGTATGTATATTTACTGTGAGAGAAGTCAAATATTTTTGAAAAACAACTTGACCTGCAAAACTTTTGTTCTAACACAAATCAACAAAAGAAAATAAGGTAATTTTGCTTAACAGTTAAATGACATTAATTCATTAAAATGTAAAGAGTGTAAGGACATAATTTTCCTTAAATTTTGGACAATATTCTTGAAGTATGAATTAAACATTTAAAAAGTGACTAAAATGTACGATTGAATATTAAGGTCATTATTGAGTATATCGATATAACTAAAGAAACTATAAGACAAGCATAGAAAACCACACATAAGGAAAGTGTACCCTATGCTTATGCTTAGACTCTCAACAGAGAAACAGAAAATGCATGGAAGGAGTTAAACTTCTTGACATGGATCACAACTTGAGACGAAAGATGGATTTTCCATATGAAGTTTAAATCAAGCAGCAGTCCAAACTCTTCAAGAGTCAAAAAACAAGGATGAGCAAGTCAAAATTCAATGCGATGTTGATTATTATTTTTTTTTTTGATGTACGTTCACATAGAATGGATACGACAGGGTCGGACATTTAATGAATATTATTATCTAGAGGTTTTACTAAGAATCCACAAGGAATCTACGTTCCTGTAATTGGCTGTATACCATATATTAAAATTTTTTTTATTAAAAAACCTTTATAAAAGGTATATATTTAAAAACCCCAACTGGCTAATTATACAAAACGTTTTCGGAATCTATGTTCCATCATCAGTGTCCTAGAAAATATATAACCACTTAATTAAAAAGAACATGAGGTTGAAATTTTGATTAAGGTTAATAACCTTAGTCAAAATTAAATTAAGTCAAAATTAATTAAAAAGAACATAAGGTTGAAATTTTGACAAATTTCAACCTCATGTTCTTTTTAATTAAGTGGTTATATCTTTTTTAGGACACTGATGTCCTAAAAATATGGATTCCGATGGAATATGGATTCCGAAAACGTTTTGTATAATTAGCCCGTTGGGGTTTTTAAATATATACCTTTTATAAAGGTTTTTTAATAAAAATTGTTTTACTAAGACTCCGGGAAAAAATTTGCAAACAGTGCCCCGAAATGTACTAGATCACGAAACCTGCCGACTCATAATGCGCACCATCTGAAGGTCTACTTGGCACAAACCAGGTCATACTCACAGAGCACTCGTCCTGTTTACCGGATTCAGCATTCTGCGATTTTTACGTGTTGTTAGGAATCAAATCCTACTTGAAAATAATTCACTCGGAGTTCTTAGAGAACATAAAACAAAAATCGGCGCAGCTATTTAATAGCCCATCAGAAGATGACTTGCAGCTTTACTTCGCACAATGGACGGCTGGCGTAGTAGGTCCAGAATGCGGAAGGCGAGTAGATTGAAGAAGAAAAATAAAAGATTCTAAAAAATTGTTTAAATAATGGTGTTATACCAACAGTTTCGTCGGACCTTCTGTACCCAAATCCCTGGAATCGTGCTGGAATTGATGATTTGACAACTAATACAGAGCTAACATAAAATATCCACGATGAACTAGAGTGTAAAGAGACATATATCATAAAATGTATTCAAGAAGGACAATAAGAAGACAAACTGACTGCGTACGATTTAAGAAAACAAATGAAAATATGCTTGTTAAACTGTTTAATATATATTAAGGTTATTTGCAGGATTACCTAACTCTTTAAATTGAAATAGCAGAAAAGTACAGCGACATTTAAAGCTATGCGCCTACACAGTTTCCTTTGATATAGGCAACCAGTATTCCAAACTGCTCACTGAAAATTTTGTTAGATTAACGTTTTGTTGCTTGCTTAACGATGGTTAACAAGTTATAGAAAGAAGTATAAAATTTATTAAAGTAGTAAGTCAATATTATTATGTTCTAATAGTTTTGTTTTATTTTTCAGTTGTTCAACCCAGATCAGTCTGAAGTCTGGATATTCCCTCCAAGAGGAGAAAATAGTGTGATTTAACTAATTACCTAATCACATGTTTACCAATAAAAATCACCTAAGTAGATAACTAGTGACACAGTTAGTTGTACTAATTAAGATTTTCTAATTGTAAATATAATATATGGGTAGGTTGTACCTCTATTGATGTGCATTTTGTAAAGATTATTTTCTTAAAAAAAAATAAAGTAGCAGCTTTCATATATTTTGTATGGTTTAAATGTAAATACCTTGATAAAAGTATTTCGAAAACTAATGTGATTTTATTGTTGAAAATAAATTAAATATATTTTCCTATTTCTTTTTAAGATTTTTTTGTTTTATTTACCAAACACCTATACTATAGTTGCATATCAACGAAATTTTCAACTTTCATAGGGCCTTGCAATACTAACTTCGACATTTGGAGTGACCATATTGTTGAAGCTACGTCGGTCAGATTGACTGTCATTTATTTAGTCTATTCTGTCAAATAACCGTAGATATCCACAATAGCTTATCCACTAGGACTAGAATTTCACTACGAGAGGAAAACCTAGACAATTGGCTCTCGGGTAGGTGTTAGATTACACTAGTAAACACACAGTTAGCTGCCGGTAATTTTTTTACCGTTTCTAGGTAATTTGGGGTCTACTGAATCCAAAAATGCCACCAGATTTGCGCCATCAGATCGTTTTCAGGAAATACAACAAATCATATTTCTAACATATAGGGTAATTTAACGCAGCACTAGCTACATATATGTAGTGTACCAATAAAATAAATAAAACACTAATACAAAGTAAGATATTTATTGTACAATAATGTATTTACAAAAATCATCACACATATCTGCCAAAAAAACTTAACTTTTCACCTAACCTAACCAGCATCGCAGCACAAATCTGCTATTCAACGTCACCTAAAAACTTCCTTTTATCCGCAATCCGCAATCATTTGAGTGTCCCATCTCCCCTGCGGCGGGCGAACTTTCGACACCAAATTGTCTTTGTACCTGGGGTAATCGAAGGGTCAAATTTTATTATAGGAAATTTCGACACCGCGGCGTAAAGCAGGTAGGTAGGTAATTAGCGGCGATGGACATTTGCACCCAAGCAGGACAAGCAGGTTTTCCCAATATTTATTGTCACGGCGGCTGGCGTGGCACTTGTGTACTTTGGTACATAATCATGAAGCCGATCCAAAAAAGCTTGAAGTAAGGATGGTAACCAATGCATGTAAAAGAAATGCCCAAGAGGACATATCGAAAAAGCCTGCCAAAATTACAAGAACTGCTGTTGCTGAGTGTGATGCCAATTTGCTGATGGTTCCTGACATAGGTAGCATAAGAAAGAACATTTACAACTGTCGTCGTAAACTGTTACCAGGTCCGTTACCAAGAAGCATATCAGAAGTCCATAACGCGGTTAGTAATTATTCTCCTAAAACCTGTCGCAATGAAAGTTTTTTGTTTTTAAATCATCCTGAATTAAATGTAATTGTATTTTTATGCGAGACAAATATTTGTTTGTTGTGTAAATTAAAAACTTTGTATATGGATGGTACATTTTCATAGAGTACCAAATATTTTCTACAATTATTTACTATACATGGCTTGGAAAATGGACATTATGTTCCTTTAGCATACTGTTTGTTAAAGGACAAATTGTCAATGACATACAATAATTTATTTTCTTTATTGAGGTCTTAGATTTTTGAAACATTTCAATTATCATTAGAGCCAACTGAAATATTTGTGGACTTTGAAAAAGCAATTCACTGTGCTTTATTGTATATGTGGCCCAATGCAAAAATTAGTGGATGCCGTTTTCACTTACACCAAAACTGGTTTAAAAAAAATTCAATCTTTGGGTTTGGTACAAGAATATAAGGATACAAATTCAGAAATTGGAAAATGGTTAAGGCATACGTTTGGTTTAACTTATTTAAATCCAGCAGAAGTTGAAGAATGCTTTCTTTATGATTTAATGTCATATAAACCTATAAACACAACACTTGATATATATATATATATTGTTATGATTTTGTATTTTTGATTTTAATTTATTTACTTGAAACAATCACAAAAATATACTTTCTCGTTATCAATGTCCTAAAAAATAAACTTCTGATATTTCTTATGTTCAGTGAGTTCAAAGTTTTCTAGTTGTATTTATCGGGATAGGAAAAACAAAGGATAATAATAAAAAGTATAATACATAAAATACAGATATTTTTTATTTTATAAAAAAAAACAATTATTAAATTTGCCGTTATCTTTTCAATCAGCGAATATGCATGTAATGAAATTAATACAAAAAGAAAATTTTAATTCTTATTTTCTTCTTGAGACAAAACAATTTGAAACTAATTTAAATTTGGATACCTTTATAAACTTTTATCTTCCTTATATTTAAAAAATCTATTTTATTATGGAAACAAAACTTTAAAACATTTGATAAACGTAAAAAGGTCTAATCATGCTTTAAACTGGTAACAACAATGAGGTAAACAAATCGCATTTAAGATTTACACACCTTTCAACTTGAAAAAGGAAAATATCTGACCCTTCTTCCCTGGATTGTTTTAGGACCACACAAAGAATTGTCCACCTTCCACAGCAATGTGTTCTTCCACCTTGCGCCTCGGCTTCTTGTTTCAGTATCTGCTCCTTCAGCCAATTTAACTGACTTAATTTAACCTCCTGACTCAATTCTCCAACACTTAACACACGAAAATCACTTCTTCAAACATTCATATAACTTCTTCGTGACCCAAGGATCTCTTTTCTCACCTGGTGCCACAACTATTTAACACGTATTCCAGAAACTGCACACTTTAGATTCAAGGATTTCTTTACATCGACTTGCAATCTACTTCTTCCACAATTCTGCTAACAAGACTGGTAACTTTATCCACTTAACAATGCCGGCCTCCAACTCACGAACACACCGCCTGTCGAGACGCAACCTTTCTTTTCGATCACTCAAACATCACTGTCTTCTCGAACCAACAAAAACTCTATCAACCCTCGGTCTGTCGATTTCCCCTTCCAAAAAGATCGTCTCATCACAAAATCCAAATTTGTTTACCACACTTGTTGGAATGCTAATTACCGTTTTCAAGCAAGGAACTTTAATCTTTTAACAATGGTCATTTCCTTGTAAACAAATAATTTTTATACATTTCAAAGATTTTTGCCTTAGTCATAATAGAAGATTTATACAACACAATACCGGACTAATCCTTCAGGTAACAGCTTATTTTCTATAATGTACAAATGGTTTGTCAATAACTCGTTTAGAATGGCTTAGTTCTTTATAAGTCATAAAATTTCGGTACTAATCTATCTATTTACAAATATACAAACTTTCTATCTTAAAATTAATACATATTTTGTCTTCAGATTTCTTAAAAACTTACTTCCGATGGATTCCTTAATTATTTTTGTTCCTTCCGCGTTTGTGGAAGAAGAAGTATAATAATATATATATAATATATATATATATATATATATATATATATATATATATATATATGCAGATTATTTACTGGAAAATTACATTTCGATAGCGCTCTATTTCCACCACACATATGGTCTAATCAGAATCCGTCTATTGCGAGGACCACAAATGCCTGTGAATCCTTTCATTCGAGATTTAATTCTTCTTTTTATTCAACACATCCTTCCATTTTTATTTTTATTGAAAAGTTAAAAGAATTTCAAGTAGACACTTATGTCAAAATAAATAGTTTACATATACCAGCAAAAATCAAAGATACTACTGTTAAGGCTAAATTGGCATTTTTGGAGAAAATTATGGATAAACTACGATCCCAACAAAATGTAGGTTAGATTTTATAAAAGCTGTATCTTATCATTCCTATAATAGCAAATAAATCATTGTACAAGTGTATTAACGGTAAAATGTACAAAAATTAGGTACTAGTTGTATTATATTTAGATATTATTACAGTTATAAAGAAATAAAATGCACATTACTTTTATTAAAATAAATAAATTAATTAATTATGGTATTTTATTTATGTCGCAGCTATATTTATTTGGTGTCGAATATACCTGTAAGATAAAAACGGGAATTGGGGCTGGTGTCGAAAATTGCCATTAAATTTTAGTCGCTACCTGCTTAGTGTCGAAATTTTCTACGCTCCTCCCCTCTCTTCCATCGTTTTGATATCTTGGTGGAAGCGTTCACCTTGTTCCTCACTAAGGTCACCAAGATTTTCTGGGAAACGGTCTAAGTCGCTGTGGAGGTAATGAATTTTAATACTCATATGACAACCGGGTTTGTTAAAATTGTGGAGCATTTCTTCACTCCCACTATATCCCGGTAATTTTCCGATTTATTGTTTCCAAGGCTATTACACTAGTTTTGGAAAAGGCTATTCAACTTCCGATCACCTGTTAACCACAAAAATATTAATAGAAAACGTAACGAATACAAGTTTCCAGTTTTCCTAGCATTTGTAGACTACGAAAAAGCTTTCGATACCATAGAACACACAGCTGTAATAAACGCAATGCAAAATTGTAGAATAGACAGCAGATATATTAACTTAATAAAAGAAACTATGAACCAAGCTACAGCTACATACTACCTAAATGAAAATAAACACACGGACCCTGTACTATTAAACAGGGGAGTTAAACAGGGAGATACTTTATCATCCAAACTGTTCACCTTAGATTTGAAGGACATTTTTAAAAACCTATATTGGAAATATAAGGGAATAAACATCAATGGTCGCTACCTCAGTAATCTACTATTTGCAGATGACATAATCCTGATAGCTACTGACCTACAAGAAATGCAAAAATCATGCTTTTAGAACTACATACCGAATCTTCTAAAATAGGACTGAAAATGAATTTAAACAAAACAAAAGTCATGCACTCCGAAGACACCGTGACAATAATAAACGATAAAGTTATAGAAAAAGTTGAAGAATATATATACTTAGGACAAAAAATAATACTAAATAGGGAAATTCAAACTAAAGAAATAAAAAGAAGAAGAAAGTTAGCTTGGGCAGCATTCGGTAAACTGAACTATATACTCAGAAATCAACAAATTCAATTACATCTTAGATCTAAAGTTTTTGATGCATGCATTATTCCGATATTAACTTATGCGGCACAAACATGGACAATCGCAAAAAAGAATATGAATATACTTAGAGTCACTCAACACGCGATGG